CACTTAATTAATACAGAAAGTTTCAAGGCCTAATTATTTTTGGGGGACGCGTGACAGAATTTTGCCAGTATTAGGGCAGGCCCTAGGTCCAATTTCAAAGGGTTTATAGAGGTGTTTTCTGATTACACAACGAATATATCGGCGCTATTGCGTCATTCAGCTTTCCTCGTCATTATAGAAAAACGTGACCAAAATATGACGTCATTTGCTGAAAAAGAATTTGACCTTGACAAGTAAAAAGCAGAAACACGAAGCATTTTAAGAAAAATGGTCCAGTTGACTGAATACGTAAATGGATTAAAAGGTACATCGTGTACGTCGTTGTATGTATTTTTAAAATAGTAACTGGAGCTTCTATATTTTTGCCAGATGTCATTGCTCGGGGCACATTATATTGTGTCATAACATGGTGACGTTTGAAGTTTTTTTTGAAAATTGTACTTATGGTTACTACATTATAGAAGACGTTTTTTTGAAGGTACGCTGGTACAAAATTTCATTAATAAATTGAACTAAAACCACGCAATAAAACATGTGACAAGTCATATTTTGTTGTCAGTCTTTTTTGACAACGCGGGGAATAGTTAAAAAACCAAAATTTTAAGTCTTGGCTATAAACCACCCGAAACGATCGTATATGAAATTGAGATGTGCTTGGTACGATGTCAGTTTTTTTTTGTGGTCAGAATCCGTCATAAACATGGCAATTTATAAACTCATTCAGGAACTGCTTTAATTATATGCCTTATTTGGACATTTGGAGTTTTGGACGAATATTTTTGCATCAGTAATAAAAGGCTTACAGTTTGGAACTCTGTTTATAATGCTGTAGGTTGAAGAAAAGGCTAGATAAATACTGAGTCTGTCAAAAATAGTTTTCATGTAGTTAGAAACTTTCGACCGTTCCTTCAGAAATCTAAGAATTGGTCGTGAGTTTGGAACGGAACTCTGGCACTGCTTTGATTGTTATTGACGTCATCACAACGATAATGTCGTGCATCATTCTCAATCGTAATTTTACCACCTTAAGTGTGGGTCGTCTAATACATCATACTTGTTCAGAGATATTTTTTATAGTTTTTCTCTAATCAGCATTAAATTTGAGTGCATTTTCCTTTCCTCGACTGGCCCAAAACGGAAGGAAGGTAGATTGATCAGAAATTCAATGTGCGTAATTCGTGGTCTTATTTGATTCATCATAGGACAAATTCTAGAAAAAGTTGTTTATGTTATAATATAAACCTACTCAACTTTATTATCCTGAAATCATTTCCGTCAGTTTGAAGGTCGCCCGATTTTGAAGATGCTGCGCCTTATACTCCCACTCGAGTCAAATTCGGTTCAATATTTGGAAAATCGTGAACTACAATACTTCAAATATCCATAATAAAAATCATGTAATCGAATGACAGTAGCTAAATTTAAATTTGACTGAAAATAGGACGGAAAATGGGACGTTGAAATAATATGTTTTGGCTATACTGCATGCGAAATTATATTCAAACTAGCAAACATATTGTGACAAGATTGCATTGAGCCACCATTGCACTGAATTGCGATAGGCCTTATCCCGCACTAACTGTGCATTACGGGTTATTTCTTGTCATAATTATGTAGCTATACACATGTATGTATTAAACTTGTCCAAATCACAAAAACGGCAACCATTGAAATTCGATTTGCCAAATTTGATTTAGGATTTCCAGGCAATATTTGGTTTTTGGGACTGCATTTTTCTGTAGAGCAAATAGTATGGGATAGAAGCTATATGTTATAACATTCGTCAGTTAGTAACAGTTACCATCCCTCTCTCAACAACCATCTTGCCCTTTCAATGTTGGTCTCAATTGTGTCATTGTGGGACGTTTTATGCTTTACGTGATTCCCCACATTTTCTTTTCTGACCGACCATGTCTTAATATGAAATGGCATTCGGCTTTAAAAATCTTTTTTCTGCATAATATATTATAGTGTACAGTTATAATGAATAATGTTAGAAAAATAATGATAGTTCGCCTACGCTTTCTTATAGTATGATAAGAAAATTACAAAGGAAATATGTGAAGACCAATGAAGATACATGTAGTTTTCGTATAAATTTATTTCTGTATGGAAATATAAAGAGCAACAATCTAAACTATTTACAGGAAATTCTTAAGGATAGTTACAACTGAATTTCTTTTACAACTATTTAACTATACAAAATAATATACTTTACAAAATTATAATAATTTTACAAAATTTTAACAAAACGAGATCTTAAGACATAATTTATATTTTTATTTTGTTTTTTTTTTGTAAAAAAAACACCTGTACTTTTGTGATATTTCTTTTTAAAGGATTTCATCAAAAAAAATTTTCCATGCTGTTATTCTTATGCATAGCCTTAATTGCATTTCAATGTTTGCGCTGCCAAAATTTCATAATTGCATAGTATAAAAGCGATCCATCAGCATGAAGCTTACGTCCAATAACGGAATAACGGACAAAAAGGCACATCGAATCTTCCCAAAACATTTCTCGCATTAACTCGAATTCTTCTGTGAGCGGCAATGCATATATAATGAATCCTACTCAAGCTATAGTGGCTGTTTCCAAGATATACAGGGCATTATGGAAGCACGAGAATAGAACTTATAAGCTGAGCAGTGAGCTCCGAAGCAAAGTGTGGGATCTTGATGTACCAACAATTTAACAGTTTCTTCAACATTGCGTATGTTGCATTCTACGGATTATTGAAATATCTGCTTCTTGAGATCAGACCAAATATTCAGGGGTGTTGTTATCTGTACAATTAAGATATCTTACATGTACACATTTTTAAGATATCATCAACATAGTTGAAATAGGTGGATGACACCCATTCCAAAAAGTTCACATGATTCAAACATGTCGAGTAATGAGTCACCGAAACGACGGCACGAACCACTTAGATTATTTTTACAAATAACAACATAACCAAACTTCTATTAAACGCTCTTTTTATATCTTATGTCATTCTTTAATAGTTTTCAGATTCGCTTCCAAAAATGTCAATTCATTGTCGTGGTTTAAAAAACGGAAGTGAATCAAGTGTTGCCAAGATGCTGTCAGCAGTTTCATCAAACCAAGGTCACGTTAAAAAATTGGCATCATCACTATTTCCATTTTAAGGACAAAGAAAGTCATTTCCGCTTTGGAGGTCCTCGATACTGAGATAAGGTACTGCAATAAGGTTTTGTTTTGGCTCTCTGTGCACAAACCATTGGCATTGGCGTTTACTCGGAAAATGGATCAATGCTAATTGAGTGAGGTCTTCAGATAGTTTTTGTTTATTCCCTCGCCAGATATCAAAGCATAACAACTTCTCGGCAGATTTAAGTTTCAATAAATTTTCGGTCATGAACTTCCAATTTTTCAATCAATTTACAGACAAATATTCTTCATATGGTGACATATTTTGATCTATGGTGTAGTGTTTACAAACAGAAAAGTTTTGAGAAGGTGAAGTTGGAAGTTAATAACCTAAAAATCCATGTTAATGGCCTCAAAAACATATTGAAATAAGGCACATAAAAACATTTTTATACAGAAAAAGCTATCTAAAAATAATTTATATGATATAATAAATTTAATATAAAATGGCTTATATGTCTATCGAAAAATACTATTGGATGGAAGAATTATCATGTATACACAATAGAAACTAAAACTTGATATTGGGGTTTAAAGGCACGGTATTAGGTAACTATACAAGAGACACAATATAATAGAAAAAGAAAATTAATTCTTTGTTATGATAATACTCCACATAAAAAAAATGTCATTTCGAGTTCTTTCACCAGAAAACGAAAACAGTCAATTTTCTCTAGTATAATGAGTTTTTTTTATTCAGCACTCTTGATAGGATAGTATCACTTAAAAGTCAAAAAGTCACAGAATCAGCGACTGCCTGAAACCATCCATGGTGTCTTGGGTATTATTGTACCTCTCACCGGTATTATGCTGCAGTGCTAGGGACTGAGATCATCTTACGTAGGTGTAAGTAATGTTCGGACGCTCACGTATATCTTTCCCATGTCTGCTCTCCGGCTGCTGGTATTGGGTTAAACATTTGACGGTGAAGCCCCATAGCATATTGGTAACTAGGGGCGGATGTCATTTGCTGCACTGATGGAGTCATGTAAGGATTTGGCATGGCACCATAAGTAATGTCCATATTGTAGCGGCCGGATGGGGAATCGTAAGTTTCAAATTTATTGTCATATTTAGGATCACATCTGTAAGGATGGGATTGTGCAGGGGCGAGCTGCTCGAGTTTAACTTGAGAATTCTGTTCTTCATCTCGGTATTTACATTCTGATGGGCTGCTGAAAGGAGATGCGGAGTTGGTGAGTGCTGATGGTGATGATCCAGTGTGAGCTTGTTGTGGTGATGATTGGTTTGGGTGATCATACCCGGTTGGACTGATGGTGCTAGATGATCCATTAGGTATATAGGTTTGGCTACAAGTTCCTGTTGACGGTACTCGGTAGGATGGCGTCCAACTTGAGGATGTGGTTGTAGGTACATTAGAGTGGCTGCCATATTGGTTGTAGTGAGCTGAATTTTGAGATGTGATTGGGTGCACGCCGGAAGGTGGCAAATACTGATCAAGATCGTCAAAAGGATCGATAACTTCTGTGCTTAAATCTCGGATGTCGACGTGACTGAAATCTATACCTGGGGTTCCAGAGTGTCCATGAGCTGTAAATAGAAAATCAAAATATCTTAAGATCATGCTTTGTGAAACTTTCTTCGTGTTAGCTCAACTTTTGCAACTCTGGAGAAACCATTCATTGACACAATAGTTCTCGATCGAAAATAAAAGAAGAACATAAACCCTTACGCAATCATTGAGATAAAAGGCAAAATGTCTAGCAAATCTGATAACATGATATCATATAGGATTAGTATGGTGACTTCTTGCTCGAAATTGAAGATAACCATCAAATGATAATAAACAAACAACATAGATAGCTTTATAATGATATCAAAAGCCAAAGGCATATCTTACCGTTCATCATTCTGGCCTTTCTATCGTAAATGCACTTGAGGTTCAATGCCTCGTGTTGGTTGGGTGTTGCTGGTGGTGTTGGTGGACCATTCGAACCACCAGGTTGACTGGAGCATTCGCTAGAACAATCGTCACTTGGAGATGAACATTCACCAATGTTTTTGTACATATTTCCATGAGGAAGTGGGCTATTGTTGTCATTGCTTTGCTGCTGTCCTTTCAATGGTTTTCGGCGACGTGGTTGATATTTGTAGTCTGGATAGTCTCTTTTGTGCTGAACTCGAAGTCTTTCAGCTTCCTCCACAAAAGGCTTCTTTTCGTCTTCATTGAGTAACCTGGAATGATATAAGTGAGTCACATAAATGGTTATTCCATGAAAATGGTATTATTTAAATCTTGGAAACCCCATATTTTTTACTTTGACTGGCTATATTATGTACAGGCTTTAATTGGGTTAAGATGGATTCTTATTGAGCTTTGTAGAATAATTAGGAATAGGTTCAATAGTTAAAATTGAAACTTTCAAAACTTTTAACACATCGAGAAGTGCTGCAGATAGTTTCTCATACTTTGCCATGACTTGGCAAATCCTCGAGATTTATGGATTAACCTCTTACTAATCCAGGATTAACGATAGGAAACAAGTAGATGAACGCGGATTAGCAAGGAACAACATTTCCTCGATACAATTTACCTAACCATCGAACTTTTCAAATTCGACACATGCATGTCATTGGACAAACAGCGTTACTTAATCCTAGCTCAAATATGTCTCCTTTAAAACAGTTCACAGATCTTCTTCCCGTTTTGCAATATTTTGTTTCACAATAAATATAAGATTGGCGAAAGGCGAAATTCGGTTTTAAATGCCCCGAGATCAATCTCGAAAGAAATTAAATCACAACTTGTGAGCAAATTCATCTAATACTGCCTTGGGGAATTTTAAATTATCATCAAAAATCTTAAGGTTTGAGTCGAATGGCCTTGGGGAACTATTTCTCAAGCATGTGGAATAAATAATTGAAATATTGCATCTTATGCAAGCTAACAGGTTTACATATTATCATTTTAATGTAAAACATCGTACAATTTAAAATTTGTAACATGTTTTGTGAGTCATCTGGTTTTAAGGTCAAAGATGTTTTTTGTCAACCATTTTCTGCCCTGTTTCTCGTGATTCAAAACAACTTTATTTGTCATTTAAAATTCATAATACAACTGTGGAGATATATAATGGATGAAATATGAGATAAAAAAAGAAAATTTGGAGATTTTTTTACAAAATGAAATTAAGTATTGTTAAGTTGGAAACCATTTGGAGCGCAGACGACAATGACTGGTTCGTCATAAAGAACTTTCAGACCACACACCTTATTTTTTATACGAAATTGCGGCTACCTGAGATTAATTTCATTTGATAGTTTCGTATCTTTTTGACAAAAAAAAATTGTTATTTTATTACGGGGTCAGCAAAAGAAAACGATAGAATGGTGTTAGGTGTCTAATTTACAAATATTTAGTCTTCTGAATGTGCCGCGCAACACGTACACAAAACACGGGGTGCTGTAATAGTCGACGACCTAGCTACGATTTAAATTGTTCTGTTTCTTTTGACTTCTACCTTCCAACAACAAACACTGTTTTTTTTTCGGATAATTTAGTGACAAGATCCCGTCATTTAATGAAATTCGATCATATCATTTGGGTCTGTTTATTGTTTTAAGAAAATCCGTTTTGGTAAAAAAAACCCAAAAACATGTTATCTTGGTTACAATGGAAAAACGAAAAATTATATTAGCCACAATTCATAAATTCCGCTTTTGATCAAGTGATAAATTGTCAGAAAAGTGCATTAATTTCGTCTGAATCAAAACATTGAAAAATTTGAAATAACACATGCGCGTATAGTTTGGGGGCACATTAAAAGAGATCATTCAAAATTCCAATTCAAATGGTCGTACAATAATGGACAAGGTAATAAATTATGATAATGTTTGTTAAAAGCAAATCCCAAAATCTGCTATGGATATTTTCCATGTCATAAACCAATAATAGGCGCTCTAATGAGTTTAGAAAGAAAAGTCATTTATTTTGATGATACCCCTATTACAATAGATAGTATTACCACAAACGCCATTCCTAATGATTAGAGCTTAGTCTTCCAACAATAGAAATTAATATCTAATTTGGGTTTAAAAGCTGTAGAAACCGCATATATCAGAAAACGTATATTCTTTTCGCATTAATCAAACACCCACTAATTCAAACTAATAATATTAATGGTCGACTGCGAGACACCGACCGTTAAAGTTCGTAAAACTGGTCGTGAGAAAAGGAGGTAAATAAATGAATATTGTCGGCAATTCTGACTTTTCTCATACCTTTTCTTTCATAATACAAACAATATATTTTATCCTCTAATTTCATGCTAAACTCAATCCGCCAAAAACCCGGTAGTTTTGTTAGGTGTCTTAAATTGGCGAACCACCACCAAAACCTGCTTATTATGACTTTACTAGCGAATTAGTGGGATTAATTTCTTTTGAAAACAACACGAAAAGTCAATTTATTTGCGTTGAATATTGAATGTTATATGGGAAATAATTGAATGATTATTGTATATATCTTGGCGCTAACTTAGTCTTTTTCGCTAACTAATGAGATTTTGATCTAATGACCATCCCTGCGCTTCTGCTTTCAAGCATGGAAAAAGGCAAAAATACAATCTGATAAATGAACTTAATTTCACCCGATCGCAGTGTTTCTAGCAAACATGATAAGCTTGTCACTGCAAACACAAGGGCTCTATTAATCCCGCCACCGGTAGTTGCGTCATAACAACAACTTTACTGTCCCGCATTGCGCCGCGGGCTGGTTGTTAGTTGTAACGATTTACCTGTAAGCGGCAGACCTCAAAGGTACGTCTGTTTGACCAAAAGACGTTCACAGTATGCTGACAACTACCATACCCACCGAAAAGCAAAGAACCCAGAAACAAAAATTAAATCTCAAATTTCGAATTGGCACGAGAATCGTGTCAAAGTACTGAATCTGAACTTGTATTTTGTTGGTCTTGTCTTAAAGTTGTTGGTAGATTTACGTGACATAATCCACGAAGACATTTTAAAATCAAATTCAGACGTACTTTGCTCTCGTGCGGGTGTGTATTTTTCTATTGGGCGAAATAGAAACATATTTAGGATCGGCTTTGAACTTAGATTTTTCATGTAAGTCTTCAGAACTTTGATAGCATTTTGCAAAGTCATCAAAGCCAGCGCCAAGAAATTGTGCTATTGGGTGGAACTGATTTTGAATCTTCAACAAATTATGCACACGAATCCTTGTAAACTTTATATATTCACACAAGAATAGGCTGGATGAACGTCACCACAGGCTCTTGATGAGTAAATAGTTAAGTGTTATTTTGAAGTAAAGGGGAAAAGATAGTTTAAATTTAGGAAACGATTCGTAATAACAATATAACTGTCGTACGTCCGGCTGACGTAATAAGTTACTAACCACAGCGATTGACATCCTCGACCGAATTTTCACTTCGTTCAGATTTGGTATATTTGGACTAATCAGTAAGTTCAATTTACGACTTTGATGAATATTAAACGAGGAAATTGTACAGTCATTCGAGGAAACCACTCTAAAAAATAATTGGAGAGTTCAAATTCAGACAATAGGAAACCACCAGAGATAATGAATGAATCTATTGTCAACCAAAAGCTGAAAAAAGTTGATGGTTCACTCTGCAAGCTTTCGATATTTTTCGGCTTAAGTCGTTTTGCTGACTCCATTGTGTCAAAATCGGTCAAAACCTGCTTCTAACTGACCTAACAAGTCGTAATGCTTTTTATAACGCAGAATTAGAAACGTTCACGTCAAATATTTGATGTCTGTGAGCTTCCGTCCCTAAAACACTAACAACATACGATTATCTGGCCTCTGAACTTTACCCAAGACCTCAAGTCCTTTGACAAATTACCTGACATTTGGGTGTGAAAAGAATTGGACGGTTAGAGGGTCGCGACCAGATCAACCTATCGTCTGGCATCACCATGTCAAGGACTGGCGCAAAGATACAAAAACCTTCTGATGTTCAACTTCCGGTCTTGTCAAATCCCCAACACACGAGAAGTCACGAGGATTTAATTGACATATCGCTTGATAAGAAATTGTTAAATTGTGTTATGATGCCGTTGTGAAATTTTGCGCTCCTTTCCTTTGTCACTTTGATTGTTAAAAATTTGACTTTGGATTAATTTGACTGCTCTAAAGAATGTTGATATTTTTCCTCAATAGAACCCCACGTTTCACGATCTTATTTAAACCTTTAATTTCCCCATGCGAATGATCAAAGAATTTTGAGGGTTGTGCTGGGCAATTACGATTGAAGATTAGTAGTAAAAAATATAGGTGAAATAATAATTCAATTTGAAAAGCAATATTCATTTGAATTGACTTGGTAAAGATTAAGGTCATCGTATAGAAGTTCGTAATCCATAGGTTTTCAACTAAACATGATATAAGTATTAAATGATTTATTTTCTGATCTCATAATATTTTTTGCTCTTGCATTTACGGGAGTTTATATTTTGCCAAATCGATCCCAAATTAGTATTCTTTCAAACATACACTTCAAGTAATGGTAATCGTTTGAAAATGAAAAAAAGGAAGCACTTGTAGACCGGTGTTTAAAAAGTTAAGTTTTAACTGTGTTGTCTACGCAAATTAATTTTAAATTCGTATGATTGAAATCTAGATTATTATCCTCTAATCTAGTTGTTCAATCATAGATATGATATAGATAGTCAGTAATCTAGATGTCTGATCAACTCCTCTAATCATTGTTTGATGGATAGATTCTCAATAAACGAGGGCCCTTAGTTCATTATGTCTGAATAACTCGAGGCATTATGTAGTTTATATTTCAATTGTAATAATAATTAGACAAGTTTCAATTCTAATTTCAGAATTTCTGCAATATTTTGGGATATCTCACTTTAAGCACTGTAGGCCATTCGTGGAACAGATCTCAAATTCGGCGCAAATGCTGATTCTATAACACTGCCATCATTAGCTCAAGGCAAAGATCTCGAACTCGAAATGAAACGGAGTGTTGCTCATCAACAAAGACAAAAGAAAGGCGTAGTTCCTCACACTTAATTAAACAGAACGTTTTGTCCACAATTAGTTTTGAATCTTCGGTGCAATTACATTAAAACTCTCACGCTGTTAATATTTATCTTGTTTATCATATATTTAACTGATATAATTTTTACAAGTGATATGAAACAGGTCTAAAAACTCGTCTGACCTTTTGTTGGTTATCATGCTAACACAACCACCTTATATCACTACCCTTTTTTAATATAATGACTGTAAACAACGGTACTCAGTGTAAACCTATCCTTTCACTAATTTTAAGTTAGAGAAGCTCTCTCTAGTGACGATTCGAAATCGGAAAAGAATTTGCTGCTGTTCGGGCATTTTGAAAACTACATAGCGCTAGTCTACCATTCCCCCACCCCCACCTCATTAGCTCAAAACCATGAAATTACATTTTATTTCGTGATAAAACTGGTGTTTTTGACTAATGCCACTACTGTTCTTTGTATCAAATGGAATAATGAGCTCTAACCTAATTTGCGAGGCAACTCTTCCTGTTGACCGAAAATCTTGGTACGAATTAATCAAGCTAGCACTTGGTGGTTTAATATTTGGTCACGTAACCACGATGCTGTGATTATATGCAATTTATCCTACCATGCTGTTATAATGCAATTTATCATATCGCGTAAATTGATATGCAAAATATGATTAAAGTTGCTAATATTAAAGATGTGAATACCGATATAGCAGATGACGCGAATTAAAGAAATCAGAAAGTGGTTGCAACAAATGGAATCGTGTCTGAATATTAATCAGACACTGGCACTATTCCTGGAGCGAGGCAACCATATTAAACAGAGTCTAGCTGTGAAACGGACCTGTTTTAACGCGATCTTTGTGACATCTTCACATGAAGCAACATGAAACCGAATTACAGATACATTATCACTGTAGGAATTTCGTCGCCTCGACAAAACCATAAACATAGATAAACAAATAAATAAAATTGGACGAAAAATTTGTAGTCGTTAATTTTCACAGATTTTCACGCATTTTTGTAACATTTTCAAGGAATTAAAACAGTAGGGTTTAACAATGTGCATGTAGAAAATTTAGAAAATTTTCGCATTAATGTGAAAATTGTGTGTCTGGTTGAGAGACGAATTCACTTGACAAATGGAAAAGATATCAACGTTAAAGAGACAATTTTATTATGATTACAAGAACATGAAAACACGTATCAAATTTCGATCAACCACTTAGCGACTTAAACATCTCTCGGAAGTTTACGGTTTGTTAGTCATTAACTTGTAATTGACTTAAGATGATGAGACTTTTACAGGCGTTTGGTTGTAAATTTACAATAGTTGGGAGTAAAATGCTTCATGCCTCAATAGACATTACGATATTTTCATTTAACCATCACTAATAAAATTGTTAACAGTCATCAGCTGCTTAAAAAATGAAATATTAAAACCATTCTGTATACACAAAACCACGTCAATTTTATCGTTTGTAAATCGCCACAAATTTGACTGAAATTTCTTGTGTAATGTTACAAAGGAAAAACTGGTTTTTACGGTTGAAAGTATCTTAAGTAAGTGCAAAATCCATGCCCCCCAAGTCGTAAAACGATAGTGCTCAGCGAAATCTTAACTTATTGTATTTAAGTTTTAATTTATATTCCAGTACATACGTCAAACCTCGTTCTATATGAACATTCATCTTTTACATTGATAAAGATGACACTTTCGCTATATGTTTTCTTGGGATACAGATCAGTAAATAGGCTAAACCACTCGGCCGTGATTCCTTTTCTAACCCCCATGGCGAAGCTTCAAGAAATGTATGGAAAGTATATAAGTACTCGAGCGTATCTCTCATTCATTTTCACTAGAAAAAAACTTAGTCAATAAATAAAAGTCAGAGTTTTGAATAACAACTGAATTGAAATATGAGAAATAAAACGATAGTTCCGTCACAAACGACATTTTGGGTTTAGGACGACTTCGGGTCAAGGCAGACTGCACATCATCCATATATCTTACTTGTTCTCAAAAAGATTGAAAAAGTCAGTTTGAAGGTTTGTAATAATTGTTTCAAATTTTCATTATCGTGGAATAAGACAGGGCGCTTTACTTAGACCTGACTTATCTTAAATCTGTATCAATGATATTGTCAAGCTGATTATCATGTAGCAGACTGTAATCTTTCAAGTTAAAAGGGTCAAATGAAACGACGGAAATTTGTAATAGTTTGATATCTTAATCCATATCGCACATCAGCAATTATGATTAGCTAAAAAGGTATGGCTGGTGGGGTGAGGTGGGATGGCCCGGGGGTGTAGTGTCATTAGGATATTGACAAGTATGGTTGATGTAGTGGAGTTTCTCCCTAGAGCCTCGTGATTAGCCATACATCATTAACTTGAACATTTTTATTATCGATACATTTCAAAATTATTAAGCAGACAAGTGAAATATTTATGAGGCATTGGCCTAATCAAGACATCAGCGACATTTCAATGCCTTGAGTAAATTAGTTGAGTATTTCATCAAGTTAAGGTTTAAATTTATTTTATTGTCACAAACTGTTATATTTCTTGATTTACATTTTTGTGGGACTTATTTATGTCATATGTTCTTTAAAACTTTTGTCACAAAAAACTTTTTTTTTTATCGTGTCGAGTTAGGACAGTATGACAATTTCGTTTCGCCTGAATTACTGTACAATATGAAAATTGAAATTTATGATAATTTTTGTCTTCATTTTGTCGAGGGGTAGATAAAAATAAATTCTCTATCAAAATAGGGTTGATGTCATCTAAATCCACTAAAATAGCTTGGTACAAAATAATGATTAACCTAAGACAGAAAAGTGCTTCAATTTCGTTTTCAAAGCCGGAGGTGACAAACAAAACTTACCGATAAAAATCAGATTACTATCTTTAATATTAAAATCTATTTCAAATAAACATTAGACTTAAAATAATAAGTTTACATCCGCGGCGCGTGGAGGCATTGAATTGTGGAGTCGTATTTCTTATCAGTATAGGAATCGGTTAGCTTCAAAATTGAAAATTTGCATAAATTTACATATATATTCGTTCAGTTGTAGGTCGTATTATTCTTGTTAAGGACATATGGAATGTATTATATATTGTAAGTGTAATAATATGTAATAAATGGTAATACAATAAAGAGAACGATCTTCACTTGATCGATGACCTAAGAGTAAAAATATAAATCATGAAACACTTGAAGTAAATAGCCATGAACTTTATAACAATTCTTTTATTGAAATTGAATTATTTTTTTATTACGAGTAAATATGTAAATTTGAAATTTCTGTGTTAATAAATTGCACATCTTTATACAAAAAAGGTATTTCAAAGTTTGTAAACTCACAATGTTAACGCTTCCTGCATTGGCACTTTTTTCTCAAAATTGCGATACACAAGAGAAAATCGTTTCCGTCTAAATGTTTCGCATCATGCAGTTTGAATTAGCCGAAATGTAACGCAAAACCAGAATCGCTTTATTCTTAAATATCAAAGACAGATATGCACTTATGAGTGTACATATTGTATGTCACATGTATGGGTTATTAAGGACGTCATATTTAGCAGAAAGCTTAACAAAAGACGACAGGGAATATCGTGTACTGTATAAAATTGTAGAGTGAAATATATAAATTGTATATATGACAATAAGGTCATCATAATACATCGACTAATCTTCGCTTTTCATATAGTATACTGAGAAAACTGGAGTTTGTAAACCATCTCACATGTGGTAGACAGAACTTTATACCACCAGTTCCTGAGAGGATTGACATTATTGCATGAAAATGATTATTGCATGCAGTAATGGAATAATAACAAAATTATATTGATACCGATACATAGTATTATGATACGATTTGATATGCTGGAATTGATGGATTAACGCAATATTAAGACTTGAAGTGACAAACTATGATTAATGCATTAATTTCATGCTAAAATTGTATTGAAGTATTGTAAGAAAATTTGAACGAGATTCTTCAATATGATTCCGAATGATAGATTGGTGTTTCTCAAGCAATGATGAATCCGGTTAGGATGTAATCACGTTTTGAATAATATGAATTTGTATTATTTTCTCACAATTCTAGTACTTCTTAACCCTTCATAAGACAGCAAAAGGGGAACCTGTGTTCATTGCTGCCACAAAAGCACCAAGGAATCTAGCCACTTGTGCCAGAAACTAGAAGGTACTCTTTGAAGACAATTAAAAGAGACTTACCTCCAAAGTTTTCCGAGTGTTTTACTCAGCTCAGCATTATGAAGATGTGGGTACTGGTCTGCCAATTTTCGTCTGGCAGCCTGTGCCCAGACCATGAAGGCGTTCATCGGTCTCTTGATGTGGGGCTTGCGTTTGTCACCACCGGCACGGGACGGGGTTGTTACCAATGACCAGTCATATCCTTTCAATACATGACACACAGCATCTTGAATTTGAGATGCAAAATTGGAGTCGTCTACTGGCAACTCTTTCTTGGAATCATTCACTTTGTCATCTTTGCCAAGCGGAGAGGGTGATCGGGAATCTTCGTGGTCACTCATGGTAATTCTGTTCGGACAGTAAGGAACAAACTATTTGTGATATTATAAAGTTAACAGTTAAACACACATTACACTCCGTTACTAATATTTATATATTCTAGTATTTAGTCCATTAAAATTCACAATAAATTAAAATTAAACTTAATATTAATATGTGAACTTAAAGCGAGTCGGTGGTTGTAATGAAGAACGGTGTAGTGAGCATTGCCCTGATATCCTTTCCAGCCTATCTTTATTGACAGTTGGATTTACGATGGCCCCGCCTCCTCAGCGCGAGCAGCAATCAGGCGCGACGACTAGTGGTCTCGTATGATAATGTTAGAGGAAATGTGGTTAAGGCGGATTTATCGTAGGTTGTAAACCAACAGTAGACTGGAGTGAGAAATCTCAATAATACGCCACTTCTGGAGTTAATTGTGGTGTGGCCGCTAACAATTCAAAGATAATAGCACAAAAATAAACAAGATGGTTGAAATGGGCCTAAAGCTGACCCGATTTGACTTTTGTCGTTTGAAATTAGTCCGGGCCATCAGGTACTGTCTTTGAAGACATCACACCGAGTACCATCACCCCCAGGAGAATTCTTCTAATATTGGAATGTCAGACATCTGTATTGTACCTAATTTTACGTATGAAAATTGGTTTGTTTACATGAAATGAAAGAACGTTTAAATTTTGTCGAACTGAGCGAACTCTTGTCAACTCTAACATTAGGTTTACATGAAAACTGAAGAGTGTCCGCACTCTGGTTGACAGGCTTAACAGTTTTATCGTTCTGCACCAAAAACTTTTGAATATTATTGTAAGAAATTAAGACTCGTAAGAATTATGAAGAAATTTGGGGTGAAGATATCGTGAGGCGAGAGGATAAAAATGAAAGGGGGTGAAATACTGACTGATTTATTGCCCTTCCTGATAATTAACCCTCTGGCTACACTTTATTTGTACGTTTTAGATTTTCATGAAATTTAACAATTAGGCAACGGTTTCTTTATTTCTTTTTTTATATTCTTGTTGAAAACCTTCAACCATTTCTATCCGTAAATGTTATTTTGGCTCTCAGCCTTGTTTTGGGCTCTCTATAGGTTTTATTCTACGATGATCTCTATATCCATTACCGAGCTAATTATACAGTATGTTAAAACTAAATGCAAAATTAAATCCGGTAAGAGTTAAAATGAATGAATAAGATATTTCCTTTTGAAGATGAAACAAACAATTGGACTTCATTTCAATTTGAAGAAACATCAAAATGCTTCAGGCTAAGGGATTGGATTAACTTTGGCTTTGAAATTGGAGAAGTTGGAATTGTTGGTTTGTAATAATATTAGAATTGCTTAAGTTTAAGAAATTATACTACATTTGAATGAAAAGAATTGCATAAAATTCCCAAAATTGAGCATTGCACCAAATTTAAACTTGCATATTTATTTTGACACAACTATGTGGGTTTTACATTGGCCATCTTTTGATGAATTCATATTACATTGTACAGATGCAAATTGTAGTCCTTGAATGAAGAACGATTTTGTAGAAATTTGATTTTATAAAGTAAACAATATTTACACTCTTAAATAAATAAACAAGACGAGTAGGCTACAATAGTGTCAATAAGATTTTAAAAACTCCGCCCACTTTTCATTCATTCATCTTTTCAAGTGCATCTCATCATACGATGTCGGCTACCCCGTGTGGCCTCCGATTGTAAAATATAGGTTACGCATGTAAGATAGTAAGCTATATTTAGGCAAAATGCAAAGGAGAGAGTGACATATAAACCTGCGCTTGAAAAATATTTTAGAGGACTAAAATTTAGAAATTTTCAAAATATTGATAGATAATATATTATATCCTTGTCACATAACATATCCGCGCGTATTTATTGGTTATATTTATTGCCATATATAGAAAAGACAAATATAGAAATAGAAAGAGAAATTATGCTGTCTTGCACATTTTTAGTACTTTTTCTAAGACTATCTATATATATTCAAGGCACAAATCAACCACCGAAAATGGCAAATCTATCCCTTTTAATCAACTTTTGTACACCTCAAGGACGTGATTTGCACAAAATATGACTAAAATCTTTCTTTGAACTTCTCTAATAGAAATTTTTCGGTTTTTTTTTATTTTCGGTTATCATATCAACCCCTACCCATGTGAATTTTGAAGGTGCGCCCTTCACCCGATTTGATACATGTATATCAAATGTGAAAGTCATTTTTCCCAGGCCATTAAGACATGTATCTTTAGTAATCTGTTTAGAGTAGTTTTCAGACATAACGTAATCTGAGGGGAATTTGAAATAAATGTAATTTTTTGCATTCATACATTAAAAATTTGAAATTAAAATATGGAGTCTGTGATATTTAAAGTGTTTTTGACTAGACGGTGATGTCATCTGGTGAAAATTTTAAAAGTCTGGATTCGTGGACTATCTTTAATAAAATTACAAGGGTGTAGTAATAAATTGGGATGTCACACTATCTGGAAATTTGTACTTTTATACCCAGTTGGAATCTATGCTCTTTTCTTTGATGTAGGTGGCATATTTGAAAGAAATTTCAAGTGAGTTGACTACCGTGTGATAAGACACTCGAGTCGACATCGAACCACTTCAAGATAAGCCTAATTATTTTCTTTAATCTGGATAAAAATTCAGGAGTTCCTTTCCATCAAATCGGTATAAGGGGTTTTCTGAACTAAGATATATGCTGAAAGTGGGCTTTTCGCCACCCAAAGTAACATGGTGTACTAGTACACACGTCGCTCAAACCTATAAGGTGATGTAACTGCCTTTACAATCTAGACTCTCTAATGTTCTGATATATAAGAATTGATGAATTATAACTCTTTTTAAGGGATATCTGTTGTTGTGACCTTACTCACTTGGCTCCCTGTTGTTTTTATTTACAAGACTTTACTCACTTGGCTCCCTGTTGTTTTTATATACAAGACCTTACTCACTTGGCTACCTGTTGTTTTTATATACAAGACTTTACTCACTTAGCTCCTTTTTATACGCACTCATTATAATGTGGACGTATATTGTCGTCACCCATGTCCGTCCGTCCGTCTGTCGGTGCACAATTGGCTTGTGAACGCGATAGAGACTACAGTTTTCATCTGATTCGAATGACATTTGGTGTGATCATTTATAATGATGAGATCTTAGTCAAGATTGAATTTTTCGATCAACAGAATTTGAGTTATTGCCCATGACTTAGTAAAAACTCATCAAAATTTGTTGGCGATAGAGGTGACAGTTTATGTCAGAATTTTATTAAATAATGTGTCTTTGTTTTAATCAACAATATCTTGCACAAATTAGATTTTTGGTATGATTTGACACAGATAGGTGACTGCCCTTGATATACTGAAAATGTATCAGGAAAGGGGGCGTATCTTGCTAGGCAAGCACTTGTTTTATATACAAGACCTTACTGACTGGCTCCCTGTTGTTTTTATATACAAGACTTTACTCACTTGGTTACCTGTTGTTTTTATATACAAGACTTTACTCACTTGGCTACCTGTTTTTATATACAATACCTTACTAACTTGGCTCCTGTTGTGTTTTTTATATAGGGCCGTACTGATTAGGCTCTACACAATCTTAGTCCCTATTTTGATTTACAAGAATGTACAAACTGGACCATATAAACTATCCTTTGTCCTCCGGACAGACTTTCCAAATAATCATGCACTATTCAGATTTTCTTAATTGAAACTGTTGTACCTATAATCAAACTATTAGCCAACTTCTGATGTCTATACATCAAGCTATTTAAACTGGCACACAGCATACATAATATAGATTTGATTAAATTACCTCCCTTGATATTGCAAATAATACATTTCCTTATACATCAATTAACAATGACTGGAAATTTGAAGAATGTCATTGTTTTTAGGTCTTATGGAAAAGCACTGTGTTATCCATTAAATCATCAAATGTTTCACAAAGGTTATTTTCAGTCAAAACCTGGGAAAAATTTGGTTGAAGGAGGTATATCAAATGTAAATTTATATTTTCTTTGCAAAATCATTGTAGGATTATTTGTACTTTTTCGAAGAAAATATAAATCCGAGGTTTTTTTGTAAGCAGGCCTCTGGAACAAGTATTTCTTCAAATGCGAAACTAAAGCGGCTAACCATACATGTAACTTGTAAGGCATATCTATAAGGCTGCAAGACCAAAAATCGTTGTCTTTATAATTTTCTGTTATAAATTAACAAATTAATTTAATGCAGTGTTTCGCGATGTGGTTTATGACATTGATGTTCAGCGACGAAAGAGTAAGAACAGATTTGAAAGTCGACTCTACGACAGAAGTAATGAGTTAACAAAGTAATAAGATTGTAATTAATGCGATATTAATTAGTATTATTGCTCTATAAAATAATTTGATTTCTTTATTTCATAAGAGGGTGAAAAATAGTAACGAAAATCAAATTCATATTTTTCTCGATTTACCAATTTTTCAATGCTTTTGAATGCAGACCTAATTTCCATGCACAGTATTGTAATTTATTATAAATATTACATTTAGAACCAAACTGGAAGATAACGTCGATGAATTGAAAGTAATATAGCTATATCGACTACATAAATGTTAATATAGGATTCAGGTTTTCCTTTGAATCCGTTATGCATAATTATATGCTAATTATAAGTATTTCTACTCCGGTTAAGAAATTTGTTGAAAAAGCAAATATTACTATGCGATATTTGAGATTTTTTTTTCCAGTCTCAATTTTTTTAGGGAATGTTTTGGGGTCTCTTAAATTTCCTTCTATTGACGTCAATGTGAAATCCATTAAAAGGGATTTTTCTCAAATCTTTTTCAATGCAAGATTTTGGTGTTATTTTTGTTCGTGTGTTTTTAGTCTATTTGAAGATATGTAAG